AACCCATTTAGGGGACATAATGGAATCCAGAATGCTATTAATGGCCTGCATCACTTTGTCTTGAATGAACTTGGCTCTAAACAAAATTTACTAGACCAATTTGATTTTAAGCCACCAAGTAGCATTTTCAGCAAATTATGTGAGAATTTACCTTCTGTTGAATAAGAATTAAATTTTAAGACAGAAATAAAACTGTAGGTGATGTTTGAGGTTTATACACGAAGCAACTGTTTGTACTTTCTTTCCCTTGATTAAAGAAATTTAAATCACAACATAAAAGACCCTACCTTTTCTATTATCAGACTTCTGATTAAAAGCTCCCCTACTCACACACGAGATTTGCCCATTCAGAATTTGAACCACTTGAGCAGCAGAGTCTGTTAACAATTACAAACACGACAAACTCCCCCACCCCCGCCAATTTTTGTTCATCAACTGACTTATAAATATGTCCATGATTAGAGCTAGTCAAAATTTGTGTTAAGAAATGGGGGTTGATGAAAATTTAAATGAAGAAAACTATTTTTGATTTTCAACAAACATATTTGTTTTTGTTGAAACAAATCAAAGATTGATTTAAAAAACCTTTTTTAAAACAAAAACTTGAATTTTTTGCAAGAAATTTCCGCCCCCAACCAGCTCTAATGACATTATCAGCTATCATTTGTGTGACCCCAGCCTTATAAGGTTTTCCTTCATTGCATTACTAATAAGACGCTGTTCAAGTACCAATCTTCTCTCCCTTTAATAACAATACCTGGTACTTCCACAGTCCTTTTCATCCATAGATTTTATATCACTTTCCAAAAGTGACCCTGTGCAGACTTTTGAAAATGTAACCCTGAAAGAGCACATCTACTTTCCTTTCATGCATTGTACCGAACCCTGAAGTCACACCTGTGCAGCCTTAGCCATCCTCCCCAAACTGTTCCATTTGTGTCTTGGGGAATGATGTCCCAAAGGATAGACCCATCTCCATCTGAAGGCTGAAACACTGATTGTAGAAAGCAGCCATGACCACAAACAGCTCAACAGCTTACTCCAGGACCATTCATTCTCTGAGCCCTAAGCATTTGAATTCAAGTGATATTTACAGAAGTTGATACATTTTCATATGTTCAATAAAAATTTTTGCCCCAGTATGTCCTATCTTGTTTCTCTGAGAGATGTAATGACTGCAATTAACAATTGCAATAGTTTGACTACTTTGTGTCTGTTTTTTTCTTTAATTCCTCCTTTCTGCTACTATTGTTAAAAATACCCTCAGATATCTTTATACTATCGCTCCACCAACATTTTTGTCAGGTTTTTTAACTTCATATACGTGAACATACCACAAAAAGTACTCTTTAGCCATAAATACAAGGACACTGAGGCCATGTTGCACTGCTGGTAATTTACAGACAAAGCATTTCAAATGCCAGTTTATTCTCTGTATTTGCAGGGCCCTTTTTAAAAAATTACCCTTGAATTTTTGTCTCTCAAACCTTTTATCTGACTTGTTTAAGGCATGTTTTGGAGTAGGTAGCAGCTGATCCTTTAGGAGGGAACACGGAAAGCAAACAAACCTGATACCTATGGTAAAGCAACAGCTGCTGCAGCCACCCTGATAAGCAATGAATACACTAATTATTTTCTAAATCTGGATTTCACCCACTGATTAGTTGATATTTGAAGAGTTATTCAAAGAAACCACTTCCTTTGTACTCAGTGTCTTAATGCACATAAACCTGGCCTCATGTATTACAGTAACAGACTGAAAATCAAGATGTTAGCAAATCAAGGCTGCAAGGGAAGGGACATTCTTAGAACACTAGGGCCCATGACTAGTACAGGATGCCACATCAGGTAGAAAAATCAATATTCACACACAAAGCCCGTATTCACATAGGCCTAAATTCAGTTCTCAGCACACAGCCCAAATAACTGGGCTATGCTTTAAGCACAATTTAGACTGGGAGGAAGGGATCCTTCCCTCTCCAGGTTACAGCCCTCAGGATAGACGAGGACTCCACTGTTACTACTGCTCACACACTCTGCAGGGTAATGACTGGTGAATCCATTTAGTCATGAATTCACCGGCCTGCCCTAAGCCCCAAACTCACCCTCTGCACTGCAAGGCTTGGAGACTTAGATCCACAAAACTCCACTCCCACATTAGCTCCTCTGCAGTCAGAGCCTTCCATGCCCACAAGCTGAGGTGGTAAGCTGTTGTCACACATCATCTCTTTATGTAAGCCACAGCTGTCAAATGTTGGGTGCCTAAAATTAGGCTCCTAAATCCATATTTTTGTCACCTGATTTTCAGAGGTGCTGAGCACTTACAATTCCTCTTTACATCCCACAGATGTTGTGAGCGCTCAGCAGGCCACTTATTTAGGTGCGTGAATATGGATTTAGGAACCTATCTTTCCTGAGCACTGGCACAATGCTGTAGGGGAACAAAAGAAACAACTAGACAGTCTGTAAAACTTTTTGGAACAACCTGAATTTGGGGTCCACTTTGACAGCAACCCTTACTTTTCATTTGTATATGCAACCAGCTTTGGAACGGGACCGCTGCTTTCCAAAGATTTCCATATTCTTTCATATAGATTCCAAAGATGGTTTAAAAGGGACTGTAAATGGGTTTATGTAGAATACAATGTAAACTTAACATGACCAAAAAAAATGACGTATTAGAAGAGGAAATAGAAAACAATGTTCTAATACCAAGCACATTTGGTAGTCACAATTCTGCCCAGTGAATAATCCCTTGTCGCTAGAACATTTCCCGCCCACTGCCTACATGCTTCTAGGCTTTTGCACAGAATGATAAGATTAATTTGCAACTTTTTATTTTTAAATCACGTCTGATCCTCCCTGGATTGTCCTCTTGCGCTGGCTGCTTCCCCCCTTCTCACCAGCAGGAGATATGTATTTGAAAGAAAGAATTATTAGGAAGATAAAGATAGCAACTGCAGATGAAAGGACAGATACTGTTATGTATCACTGGAAAACATCAGTTCAGCAACAAAAAGACCAGTTGCTATTTTTACCAGACACACGCGACTAGGTCTGTATATTGTAGGGGAGGATTAAAGCATATGACCCTGAGTCTACATCAGGATCCACTACCATGGATCCCTGCTCCCATGTGAAATCACACTGAAGTCAAAGAGACTAAACATGGATCAATAATAGTGGATTCTAATGCAGGGTTAGGGTCTAGGAGCCTGATCAGATGACAACTGAAGACAACGGCAGTCTTTCTATCCACGTCAATGAATGTAAGATTGGGCACACAGCATGTAACATTTCTGGCATAAGAATTTGAGATTTGCTGAATAATGTAAGGGGTTAAAAGAAAGTATGCTAGAGTATAAGGATATAAATACTGTTGTGGCGATCCTTGAAACAACGTAGAATAAAAGGATACACAGATGCCCCAGCACAAATCATAGGAATAAAAGGAAAGCATAAGATTTGGGGGTTGGGGGGGTGGGGAGGTTGGGCAGGGTCCTTGGCTGGTGTAATCCATCTTCAATGAACCTATGACAATTTCCACCTGCTGAGGATCTATTCCCCAGACTTTGCACAGGGGACAGACCAATGGGGTTCTTGAAATAGATGTTGAGCTTTTGCCATAACAGAATCTTTCCCCCTAAGAGCTAGAGGCCTGGGGCCAGCCAGCCCTGGTTTCTCAGGAAGCACACCTAAGCAGGGACCAACTAATTCCACTATAAAGAGCAGGAAGAAGCTGCAGAGTGGGGGAAATGCTCAGGGAGAAACCACCAAAGGGAAACTGGAGGAAGAAACTTCAGCAGAGGCCTGGCAAGTCAGGCAATGGCTGCTGGGAGCAAGCAGACTCCAGCAGGGAACTCTGAGGCGGGGGCGGGAAGGGGGGGAATCGAAAAAGACTACAGAGGCTACTGTGAGCAAATGAGCTTCAGGCAAGGATGTTTAGGGAGATACCTGGAGGGAAGACAGAGCATATAAAGTCCAACCCTAAGGTGGGGCGTTGCTGAACTAGAGAAAAGCTTGTGTATGGAGTCCTTAAGAGGCTCTGAAAAAGGGAAACAAGCAGACTGCTGCAGAGCAACGTCTGGCCACCAGAAGGCACATGGGAGGTGGCTGGCTCATTACAGCTTTACAAATGTCACAGAAAAAAAAACCACTTGCAAAATCATATTACGTATTTAAACACCCCTAACCCGATCTCCTTTCATCCCCATAGGCTGTCTCCAGTGGTAGCTGTAGAATCATCACCGACACGGTGCCAGCCCCCCAGGACTTATCACGCTTAGTCTGTGTTCATTACATTTGAAGATAATCACCAGAGTAGGCGTATCTGACCAATTTCCTTAGTCATTTTTTCATTACTCAGTCTTGAGTAATGAATGAAGAATTAATAAATGGAGGACGCCACAAACTAATGTAAGAACAAAGTACAGTGGATTTGATTTTGGGGTTATTGTTATCATCATCATTACCTGATGCAGTTGCTTGGTGATAAGTCTCCTAAGTGATTATGTATGGGTGAGTTTCTAAAATCATGTCTGGTTATACATTTGTAAAAAAATATTGTTTTACTTTGGTTAACAACTGCCTAGAATTTCAGATAGAAACTACATAAATGTAAGATTTGCTAAGACACCTTATTTGTAATGAGAGAGATGTACAGAATACAAAGCAATGGCACAGCTAATTATACAAAGTGCAAAAGCAAATGGCATTTTTCAAACAGCTGAATACATCTTTTCTGTCTGAATTAATTATGAATTAAGAGTAAAAAAGTTCACCTGTGCACCCCTAAAAATTCCACCTTTCATCGTATCAGGGAAGATACATTTCTGTTGTGCTAAATGGACAAAGCTAAGAAGAATGCATAATATTTTATTTTTAAAAGGTATTTACAAAAAGAGATATTGCACCAGTTGTCAGTTCTGCAGTATTTTAACAGATTAAAGAAAAAACTAACCTATATTAACAAAATTAAAAACTAATACAAAAGACTGAAAAACAGGAAGAATAAATTTTATTTAAATTGCTAAGTACAATTAGATTCCCTGATTATAGCCCATGTCCAGTATGATCTAAAGTATGTACCATATATAGTTGTACTCTTAGAAATCCTTGTATCTCTATGCAGGTGTGAATCTTATGTTGTACATGAACCATCAGAAGATTTATGTAAAATGTAAAGGCTATGTTTAGCTTTACAACTGCCTTTTCCCTGGAAACTGCTGCTGTTTTAAGTAAATTGAAGAAGCTACATGGTAATATTTGTCCAATAATTTAAGTTTTAAAAAGTAGTGATAAAACAAGCATGATGGTTGTTTTTTTTCCATAGATTATGCCAGGAATGTGATTTCCCCCATATTTCAGTACTAATCACTTTATATACACGCAGTCCAGAATATAGTGAGCACTAGCATAAAGTATGTCTCAGTCTATTTGCCCGTTGGACCATCATGGTGCATTTCTGGGGTGTAGGTAAGCAGAACAATCATGACCCAGAGGTGAAGCAATGCCTGGCCAAAAAAAAGAAAAAAAAAAGGAGGAGTTAGCACACAACGCTGACTACCATCCATCATTTACAATGGTTGTAATTCTGATTGTAGACAGAAGCAGCTAATTTTGTAGACATTAGGCCTTTCACAAAACATTTGTTTAATGGTTCCTTCCATTTTATTCCATTGCACCTAGCAAAGGAAAACTATTCTGATTTGCACAGTGAAGCGTTGTGCCAGATTCCAACGCAAGAAGCATTTTATAGCAAATTATGAAAAACTTGCTAAAAAATTACAATTAGCATGTCTGAGTGTCCCGCTAGGCATTGACCATCTTTGATAAAAAAGAATTACATTACAGATGGCCCCATACAGAGCTAATTCAAAATACTGAGACCCAGCTTAGAAAGTGGTTTCAGAACCATATTAATTAGTAAAATTCTCAACAGTTTCAGTATGAAGCATTTTGTTCACCTACTAAACAGTACAATGGCAGTGTTACATTAGAAGGGAAGAGAGAAGGGGGAATTAAAATGGCCAAATTCCATCTATCACTCAAAAAATGGGAGAGGTGGTGGTACAGAAAAGTGTGGTTACCTTTAATTTTGTCAAGTGTGTATTTGGCTGCTTTGTATCCCCAAAGAGTGGCAACCCCATTCACCCAGTGATTTATTTTAAAAGCATCATTACGCTTTCTCAAGCAAGGCATTTTTCAATGCATATGAAATATGGAGTTAGAGTACTGAAATCTTTAAAGCAACAGCACACTGCAGCTGGGCTTACTTACATAACTACTGAGCACATCAACTGACAGAGACATTAACCCTCTAGTGAAACTGGGAGAAATTCCACTGACAATCATGCAAGATGTGAAGAACAAACTTCCTTTCTATAGCCCAAAATTAGATAAAAATCACGCTCACTGCTTTTATAGGTATTTGAAAAGAATGATTATTAATCACTGGGCTGAGGTAAAATGTTATTAAAACATTAGTTTCCCAAGTTATTTTAATGGAAGCTAGTCAGTCATAGAAATGTGCTATACTTTCCAATATGAGACTACAAAATTACAACCAGTATTAGTTACACAAATGTAAAAACTTTAAAAGCACTACAAATTCAAGGCAAGACTGTACATATATTGTCAGGCTACAGGACTCAAGAACTCATGTTCCATAAGCAGTCTTTATAGTCTACTATAAAATACAACAAATGGTCAAAACTAATTAGATACCCTTTTTCTTTTATAGACTATTGAATGCCTTTCAGACGAAGGCAAATACTATATAAAACTGACTATAAAAAATTCTACACAACAATGTACTCACCATATAAATGATTACAAATACCCTTGCTATGGGATACCGTCTTAGAAAGATTCCCAATCGAATGCTGTGAAAGTATAATACACATGTTAGAACAGAAAAATATTCCTGTTCCTTTACCCCGACCCCCACAAAATTGTAAACATCAACTGGTATTATACATATAGTTTTCCACATTTCTGCCTTTTGAATTTTACTACTTATTCACAACAGCTACTGGATTGAGAGAAACTAGTCTTTAGTCAGAACACAAAATTGTACGTACTTTTCTGGCCATAAAAAAGCCAGTCCCCTTGTTGCTATAAATATGTCACATTAGGCCTTGTCAGAAACAAAGGCTAGGGCTTTCAAAAAATCCTAAAGGAGTTAGACACCCAACTCCCATTGACTTACAATGAGATCTAGTTGGCTAACTCATTTAAGTTCTTTCGAAAATCTTAGTGAAAGAGGTCTGTGCCATTCTTACACTTAGTTATATGTGAGAAACAGAATAGCCTGTAGAATTCTAGTACAAATGCAACATGAAGTATACTGTATCAGTAGTTTGCATCATGGCCTTGTAATCTGCTTTAATAAAATAAAAATATGCTAGTAGAAAAGTGACAATACAAATACAGAAGTAATATTTAAATCAGTGTCACATACAACAGGCCACTCATCAAGGAAGCACTGGTATTTATAATCCTAATATTAAAATCACTTTAGAGGTGCAAAGTGTATCCTATTGAGGCATCCTCGTTTTCAAGGGTTTGAAACTATTACGTCCAACTGAAATTTGACTTAAGCTAAAGCTCCAGAGAAGACTTTTTTGGAAAGGCTAAGATAAGAAAGACAAGATAGCTCCTGAGACAAGAGATCAGAATAAGGTTCCAAAGCATGTTTGACTCATTCTAGGCACATATTTTGAGGACGCTTAGTTCATAGCATGGATTTATTCTGGGATACTTTAAAAAAAGATTTTAAAAAGGGATTTGAGAAAGGAAACACACACTGAAAAAGTAGCTAATAATTTATAACAGCTACTTTTCATATCCTTATTGCTGATCCATGACACACTGTAATATGTAACAGTAAAACTAACACACTGGGCACATTTCATGATCAGGTGGAATGTTCCTGGTCTAAATAACTTAGAAACATAACAGTGATAAAGCTCTGACACAGAGGATTTCTCTGCCAAAGACTCAGAAGAAGAAAAGAAGAGGAGAATTAGTAGTGGCTGTGACATTGGAAGACCAGGTGCCAGCTCTGGCCAAGGCTGTAAGCATCAGCTGAGCACTGACAAATTCATAGCTGGAAGCTCACCTATACATTAGCATTGTTCAAGATGGGTGTTAAGACTTGTAAGAATGTGTTTAGTCTCTGTAAACTGCTTGCAAGTTTCTACATGCATTAATCTCACTTGTAATGTCTGTATCTCATGTTTCAAAGTAAAATATAAGTTTGCTTTATAAATGTAAAAAGGCCTGCTCTGAATTTGTGAACCTAGGCAGTAAGAGTGGTTTCCCCCACCCATCAAGAAGGGCTATCAAAACTAAATGGCATTATAGGACAAAACAAAACTTTGTTGATTGCCCATCCACCCATGAAGAAATTACGTGCAGAGCACTCATCCCATTGGTTTGAACTCTGCGGGAAGGGCATATAAAGATGATCACAAGAAGAAACAGTTATATCTTTGCTGTTTGGACTCTCATAAGGGCTGGAGCAAAGAAACAAAAGCAGAGATCCCCAGGGTCAACCTGGGGTTGCCCTAAAAGACATTCAGTGGATAGATTACATCATCTGTCACCTTTTGGAACCACAGTCTAACTCATTTCTTTTCTTAGTTAATAAATCCTTAGTTAGTATACTATAAGACTGGCTACCAGTGTCGTCTTTGGTGTGATATCTAAAGCTAAGTGACTGGTCTCTTGAGATTGGTATATGGCAACCAACAATCACTAAGATGGACTGAAATGCCCCAGTGGACTGTGACTCTATGCTTCATTCTATGGTAAGACTGCTATAGTGATTCAGGAGGTCACACTTGATACTGGGTTGGGGAAACCTAATCATAGAACATACCACCAGTTTGGGGTGTCTGCCCTGCTTTCTAACAGTTTGCCCTGAGGCTGCACTCAGTTGTGAACTGCAGACAGCATGACAATAGTAAAAGTTATTTTTTATATATGCAAGATAACTCTGCAATGTCCAATAAAACCTGATGGGTTCTTGTACCATGTACCCAACTATTAACATAATTTGTGGTAGCACAAGACTATTCACATCACAAGATATTATGACGGGAATAAAGTGAATGGGAATTAACCATGTCAATATTTAATATGAATTTGTACCATACTAAATGTATGGGTGTGTTTTTATACAATTAGAAACAATTCAAAATAAAAGGTGTACTGAGGAGGAAGACTGTATAAGGAACTAGTCCAAGAAGAGAAACATTCCTTTATGATTTATGTACTCTTACCTAAACTGGTCTATACTACTGGCAGCTTTGCGAACTCTTCCATACATTCCTGCCATGTTAGCATCCACATCACTAAAAAGGACAGGAACACTGCGCATGCGAGTACCTATTTAAAACAAAAGAACAAACAAATCTGAGTAGGCTAAAGATGCCTTCCTAGGAAATGTATTTGTCTATGTAGGGTCGACAGAGTTAAATGTTTAATTTCACCTTTTTGCAGTGTTCAAGATTTTCAGTGCACAACGGAAAACAAGTCAGATGAATCACTGTATATTTAAAGGGGATTTCTGTTTTGAGAGGAATTGTTGGATAAGATTACAATTTAGTTAAAAATGCATCTGAGAAAGTGATTTTTATTCCAGTTCTGTATCGACTAAATCAGCATTTTAGTATTCAGTTCAGATGTTTTATACTCCAAAATAATTTCTTTGCTTCATTATCATTTCTTAAGTATATACTGCAATGATTTTCTTATTTGCTTTACTTTTATTACAAAGGAACTCTTGTCATACAATAGCTGTATCTGACTGCATTTCTGATAATAAATTCCTGTTTTTCAGGGTTTTATAATATCATGAAAAAAGATGACCCAGGTTAAAATTTTCATAGGTGTATCCTGGTCTGAAAGTCTAAGTGTGACTGAACAAAATTGGCTTATTTTTAGTTTAGCTTTATAAGAGCAGAAAAACTGAATGTGTCATTTCAGATTTTATTGTTCTCCTGACAAAGGGAGTTTTAAAAGAAAGAGACATTTCACAGGCAAACAACTGGGCAGGTATTTTACATCAAAGTTCAAGGAGTGGGTGTATTTTGTTTTTAAAGTTAGCACAATTACTTCTTTCGTAGAGTTGAATCAAAGTAAGGTATCAAAGCAGAAATCAATAGCAGCTGAAGTTTCTCAGAGACATCTGAGATATGATACTACTCAAAGCAGCCAAGCCAATCTCAGTGGAGAAGACACATTTGTAGGCTACTTTCTCAGAGATTTCCAAGGAAAACAGAATGAGGGCAAACTGATTTTAACCAAATGGAGGACAGTGCATTCAAGGTTTCTCAGAAACTTCCACTTAAGTTTGATCATCTCACAATGGAACACCTATTCTAACCCCCACCTTCCAAAAACCATAAAAAACCCAACCAACCAACCCCCCTCCATAAAAAAAAAAAAAAATTACAGGACACATATGCAAGTAATATTTAAACCCACAAAACAAAGTAATTCACAGGTGAAACTGCACTGCCGGTTGCATTGGCAGCTGTCATGGTAAACTGATTTTAAAAGAACATACTTGCTATATTATTAATCACAATGGGGAGAATTAAGAATGAAGTTTTGCTTTAATAAATTCACTTAAAATTGCCTACACATAGAAAAGCAGTCTCTATTTGGCTATTTTCGACTGTACTAGTTATAATTGGAAAGATCAACTCAATAAACGTCTTATTTGCCATATTTTTCTTATATACAGAGATGTTTACGGAAATGAATGGGGAATATAAGAGTCCTTTAGTTAAGCTGAGCACACACACATTTTTAAATATGATCTTTCCATGTTTACCTTCACCACTGTCAATTCCTGCCATATTAATTGCAGGTCCATTAGTACTACTGCCTTGGATAGTCTTAAGCTGTTGCTCAAGGCGTTCCAGTTGATAGACGAGGGAGTTCTTCTCTGTGCTGAGACTCTCCAACATGGTCTGCTTCTGAATCAGAGTCTCGGTCAGCTGATGAAGCCGATTTTCCAGCTCTGACTGACTACTGCTGCTCAAAGCCTTGTTTGTGAGCTGAAAAAGAAAAGTTAGTGCAAAATATAAGGCAGAAGATGAAACATAAAAATTAAATCTAGACTTTGAAATAGTTCAACTCCTAAGTCTTATGAGAGAGAGGCTGATGCAAGGAGTGGGATGCCACAGGATTTTAATGATGCAACAGCTATTACTACTACCGCCATCATTAACAAAATGTGAGAGAGAGAAATTTGATTGTAGAAGCATTATGCCTTGATAATTGCTTTCACTAGGAAGTTCCTGGCAAGTATCTATGAATATAGTGCTACCCCCATGTGAACATTGCCATACAAAAGTGAGTTTGCACCTAACAACAAATCCTAGTAGTCTCCTGGCTTGTGTAGGAAAACATTAGTGATCGGCCCATGGCCATTACACCTGCAAGATTCACAGAACGGCGGGAAGTGAGGCAACTTGATCCCATTTAGTTGGGAGGCTGTTACAAACCTAAGGGGCAGCATTAAAGAAGGCACAAAATTGGACATAGGTGAAGGAGAATTAGGGAGAGGTGAGGTACATGGGCACTGGATACGAACAGCAGAGGGAGAAGGACAAGACTAAGGGTTTGTCTATCCATACAGCATTGCAGTGGCATAGCTGCACCGATGCAGCGCTTAGTGAAGACGCTCCTACCCTGTTGGCAGAGTTAATCCACCTCCCCAAGAGGCGGTAGCTTTGTCAATGGGAGAAGTCCTCCTGTCCACATAGCACTGTCTACACCAGGAATTCAGTACAGGTCAGGAATTCAGTGAGTATTTTCCACGCCCCTGAGCGACAGCGATACTAACATAAGCCTGTAGTGTAGGCCACGCCTAAGGCAACATGGTCCATAGGGTCCAATTTGCAGAGATTTTTGAAAGCAGACACTTGAAGTGGATCTTTCTTAAGTGATTCTGTTTTATAGTTTCTATCCAGGTTCTAACTGGATTCACAATTCATACACAATTCAAGGCATGTCTTGAATTTTACGCGTGAGACAACAGCCATGTTGATGGCGGTGCAGACAACACTATGTCAGCACAGGCCAGGTAGAGGTCAAACACTCAAGATTCATCCTGTAAACTGTGCATGATTATGGAAACTTAGCCAAGTTTGGTTGTTCAGGAAAAAAATGTGCCAAATTCATAGTAGTACACTCAGCAGAGTGCTTGCTGATGGCTTAATCCACTCAGTGTGAACTACAGTGCTGAAAAAGAATGTGTGTTTCTTCTCCTTGAAGATGCAATATGTGGCCTCCAAAAGGGGGTGAGCATCAGATTTCTCCCATCAGGCAAGCTCTACCAGACAGGCTTGATTGCAACAAAGTCTTGGCAGACAAATGTGATCTGCAATTTACACTGAAGAGGCTCTCCAATTTATATTTGATAGAGTTGCAGTGACAAACAATGGACTTATGTTCACCTTACAAAGACAAGGTTACATGCCAGTTATCACCAGGGACAGAGAAAATTAAAACCATCAGCACCAGTATACTGAAGTCATTTAATTCCTTAAGAGAGATCATTTTGACTATTAAATATTGACCAGCATCAAGAAACTGCATCCTTTGGAATACTAAAGCCAAGTAAAGCACCTACCTAGAATCAAAATAGGTGTTAAATTGAAGATCTTACACCTGCTTCAGTATGCAAAGGCCTGAATATACTGACATTGACCCAATCATCTAACCCAGTGCTTCTCAAACTATCTGATGTGGGGGACTGGCAATTTTTTTTCCCCTCCAATGTGTGTGCAGACCGGCAGCTGATGCCTCATGGACCGGCACCAGTCCGCAGACCACCACTTTGAGTAGCACTGATCTAACCTGCTGTAAGTTGAATCTTAGCCACCTGTGGTCATCATACATTTTAAGTGGTAGTACCGAGTCTGCAGTGAGATACCAGACTGATCATGGACTATTGGCATTCAGGCAATGCAAATACAAATCAGCTGCACTGGACAGGGCATGGTACACATGGACAATACATACATTCTGAAGTAAATTTTGTATAGTGAAGTATTATCAGGAAAGCAAGCCCCACTGGGTTCAAAGAAAACTATATCAAGACAATTTTCAAGTCCTTTGACATCCAAAATGTAAAGCAAGTAGTGTTTAATACTAGATTGTCATTTTTTCTGTAATAGTCTACAGTGCATTGTGTGGCCTTGTATATAATTTGCATGAAATGAAACAAATAAATGTTACATTAACAGGATCCAGCTCAGAAACTCATACTACCCATACAACCATCAATACCCTTTTTTGTTGTTTCACAGGAGAGAACGTATGGACTCAGGACCTGGTTCTCTAGTCATCTTGTGCACATACAGGGCCTTATCAGACAATACAGCCCTTTGTTTCTGAAGACAAACATTTTAAAATTGTGTTTGCTTTTGATATTTACTCCAAAGTTAATTTTCACTGTAGAGTAGATTTTCTTAAAACCTAATATACTCGGTTTCATTATTGGAATCTGAATGATTGATTATTAAAAGGATGTGTGCAAGCACCAAAGTTTATCAAATGGAATCTAACAGTTTCATTTTAACAGCTTTACAACCAGATGAAAAACAGAGTTTTACTCAACCAAAAGTGTAAGCTAAAACAAAGAAGGTAGTTTAGTGTTTTTAATGACTTAACAGCATTAAATATTCTTAAATGCAAATAAGTTACCTGATTTCTGAGTTTTTGAATTTCTTCCTCTCTGTCTTTTATTCTGCTTTGCAAGGTATTCTTTGTCCGATACAATTCTTCCTCATTGTAATGGAGTTCCTATAAAATTAATTGCAACCAGTTACAAAACAAAGATTAGTAGACAGCCTTTGGAAAGTATTTCAGGTGATGTTTTAGCCACTATTTGAGGCTTTACACTAAAGCAGAGGGTTTTACTTTGCCCTGAAAAAACGTATTGTCTAAAAAGAGACAACATAATGAAGGAAGGGATTTAGCCAAGAACAACTGATTGAGCGGTGAAGATTACCCTAGATCTTGTTAGTACCATGATTTTTGAACAGCGCTTTTAAATTCCCATTTAACGATTTAACATGTTTACTGTGATGTTTTTAAAATCTGTCTTACTTCAGTCATTTACTGTTAGAGCAGCACATAACTGTACTCTCCCTTCAAATCACTGAGTACACAAAGCAGAAGGAAAAAAATCCTTATCCTACTGATCCTCAACCAGTCTTCAATATCAAAAGCCTGAACAGCAAATACTTTAAAGAAACAAACAATCTCCATATACACAACGCCACAGTTATGTATGTTAATACAACTATCTTAGTGTGGCACTGTGCTCCAAAGTAGTATCCCAGCACCCCGATATTTACCATGGTGGTATAATTATATGTTTTGTATAAAAATGCATCTTGTGAGGTATCATTTTAAAAGACTTGATCTGTTGAACTTTAATATCCTGTTGGATTGTATGGGCTATCATTGTATGTGGAGTTATGAAGTTTTTCTGTGTGCATGTTACAGAAATATGTTGTGAGGTTGGGAACACCCACGACCAGCCTTTCTGGTGCAACAGTGGAGGAGTCAGATGCTCTAATAGCCCATTAATAGAATACACACTCACAAGGACTGTCCAAGGAACCTATACAGTGGAGACTTCTCAGTGATAGCATGTAGACAATGGAGACTGCTTGACCCATGTCACAATCACAGATGTTTCCAGCAAGCTGGAAGAAACTATAAAGGAGGGAAAGTGACAATCACTTGGCCTCTCTCCCCACAGAACTCAACACCTGGAAACACATCTGGAGAATGAAGACTGAATTGGGGAGGTGGTCCCAGACTGGAAAAAAGAATCCTGTGTATTCAGGAATGATACCATCAGGGTGAGACACTGCTTGATTCAAATCTGTCTAGTTTATAGAACTCAGATTGTGATTTTAGTTTTATTTCTTGGGTAACCAACTTTGATCTGTACACTTATTACTTACAAACATTTAAAATCTGTCTTATGTTTTACCTAGAACAGGGTGTTTTGATTGAAGTGCTTGGGATATCTGCTCAGGAACAAAAGCTGGTGCATGTCCTCTCCACATTGAGGGAGGGGTGGACTGGGTTATAAACTTACAATGGTCAGGCTTCTGACCAGGGCAAGATGGTACAGCCCTGGGGTTCCAGGCTGAGGGGCAGGGAGAACTGGCTAGAGCCTTTCTATTGTTAATTCATGAGTGGCTAGGCGAAGCATTCATGTAACGCTGCTAGGTGTGACCCTGCCTGTGGAAGTGCAGTATCTGGAGAGGTTTGCTGCTTGTCACAACATCATAGTGTGAGAGGGAGCCCAGGTTGGTAAGAGGGCTCAGCGGTACCCCACTGCCAGGTTGCACCCTGGGGAACCCACCATACTTAGTACCAGATTTACCTATAGTTTGGGTATTATTATAACTCACTATGTCCCTAAAACGGAAATTTCAGTTTGTTAAATGACTATAAAAGAAAATTACCATAGTTTTCATTCCACCTTGGTCTTTCTTGATATAGCACTGCCTTGGAATATATCCCACACTCCTAAAGACAGAGGTAACAGGATATACTCTACCATCTGCTTTGGTATAATAAACATTTAGCCATCCATCTAAAGCAGACTTGAACTTTTGAATTTTAATTAATTCAAGCTAGCATCTAATTAAAATGTAATTTCTAAAAGGACAGATAATCCTACAAAATAAATTGTTCCCAGAACGATGGTACACGCTCCAGCCTTCCTCATTATTTTTTCTCTTAACAGTGGCAACTTATTTACAACAATAAAAATGTCTATCAAGATATAAGACACTGGTCTGTGTTCAACCGAATGATGAGCCTAATAGTACTAGTCATTAACAACATGCCCTTTTATGCCATAATTTAAAGCAGAGAACCCCCTCACAGAAATCACTGTGGAGTTCTGCTTGAAGTCTAATGGCATAATATGGCCTAATGCTCTCAGAACCCTTTATTAGCAATTTATTAGTACCATACACTAAGCAGACAGAGTAACAATATTTGGACAATGGAGTCCAAAAAAGATTGCATAAGTAGGCACATTTTCAAACTATTACAGGCTAATGTAATCAAGACTTCCTGAAGTCCTTTGCATGAATTAGGCAAAAAAAAAAAAAAAAAGTTCTCTTGTACCCCATTTTTAAGTGTTTTAATTTTTTTAATTTAAATAATGTTTAAACCATCTCACTGGAAATACAAAATATGAAAGGAGCAAACAGATGTTACACAAGTCAGAGGAAGGCAACAGGAATGTCAACTTCTCATAGGGCTGACAGCCCCCAACCTTTCACTGTTGCAATGGGCAACATCTTGATATACCTTGACATTCTGTGATGACTTACTACTTACAGAACATACTTATATGCAAGTAGGAATGTATTTAAATATTAGGAAAAAATAAATAGAAAAAAGTTCATTTGTTCATGGATTATTCAATTATACCACTAGATGTCAGTCTTCTACCAGTATACCCAAATTATCTAAAATTTTAAACTATATGTAATTTAAACTACATATACATATGTACATATATGTATAAAACTACATATACGTATGTAAGATTTGTAACAATCTTAAATAAAGTATTAAATGTGAATGAAGTACATTATTGTTATCTTGCTTCCAATATGCAAAAATGTTCTTTTAAGCAATATTGTTAAATGGGAAATATCAATTTATGTATTTTATAACACTTTCATTTTTAGTAAAGCGATGTATATATAAACTTGCATCTCAGGCTGATGAATGTGTGTATTACAGAAATGCTCAGGTTTTGTTTACTTTGCAAATGGGTTGTACTCTATTTCAATTTTGAGTTTACTCAAAAAATATTGTGTTGGAGCTAAGCTTATTGTGTTGTGATATTGCTTTATATTTTATAAGAATAAGGTGTTGTCTAATTACCTGGGCAATATTTATTATTTTCTTCATAATTCTTTCCCTTTGCATTAGGCACCTGTAAATGATGCAATATGCATGCTTACCTAGGTTCACTGTAAGCTGCGTGGCAGCGCAACAGGGTATTTAGGGCCATGCAGGTCCCCCAGCCCAGCCCTGATAGAGCTGCCACAGCTGGGGAGAGGAGCCCTTTCCCCGGCCCAGCCCCACCAGACCTGCCACGGCCAGGGAAAAGGCACCTCTCCCCCACCCACCCCAAGCCCACGTGCTGCTGCGGGGAGAGGGAGTTGCAGGGAGTCCCCGCCCCCCACCAAATGTAACCCCTCATCCCCGTCACCACCTCAGAGCCCACATCCCTGGCCAGAGCCATCACACCCCAACCCTCTGCCTTAGCCCCCTCCTGCACCTCAAACCCTTCATCCCCAGCCCCACACCAGAGCCTGCACCCCAACCCTCTGCCTTAGCCCTGAGCCCCCTCCCACACCACAGTCCCCTCATTCCCGGCCCTACCCAAGAGCTCACGCCCTCACCGCCCCCGCACTCCAACCCTCTGCCCCAACCCTGAGTCCCCTCCCACACTCCAAACCACTAGGCCCCACCCTGCCACATGAATTTTGTGTGGAGCGCCAATATGGAGGGGATGCGTCACACATCCCCTCCATAGTGGTGCACATAACAAAATTCATTCTGCACATGGGTGGGAAAAATTAGAGGGAAACACTGATGCTTACACCTAAATTTGCCAAAATGAATGCCCAACACAACCTACCATCACTCTGAATAATGGCAAAAAAGTTACTGTAATGTCATACCAGAGATTACACTCCTGGTTTCTTTGTTTCACCGCCAATGTCTAATGCACATAGTGCCTCTCTAACCTGTAGTTATCTCATCAGAAAAATGTCACTAACAATGCTTTGCACTTATCTTGTGCTTTCTCATCTGAAGAACCCAAAGCACTTTTCAAAAAGGGGTAAATGTTATTAGCCTCATTTTACATTTGGCCTTAAGTATAGAAATTTGAGACGACTGTATATAAAGCCCAATTCGGTTTCCAACTTCCTGTGTAAACTTGGGTAAGCCACAAACTGTCTAGTCCTGTCACACCTGCTGCAAACAGACCCTTGAAATTCCTTCTAGGCCTAGGGGGGAGGGGCGGAGAAAGGGGGAAAATACCCTTTGATAGGGTATAAAGGAAGTTTTATCCTGTAGTTTCATTTCATTTTTGAAAGTTAGCCCAGGTCAGTTCAGAGTTTGATGATGCAAATATTTGTCATCACCATGATTTTATCTTTTTGGCTGCTGGCTTCAGAGAAAATGATGTATTGATCTTTCAAAAACACATTTTACTATTCCTGCTCTTAAAAACTGCCTCTTGCACAAGTCATTGTCAAAATCTATTGATATTTCAAGTCTGCTATGTAGAGTAGTTTGATTAGAGACATGGAGGGACCCAAAGAAACATTAGATGCTTTGCAAACATTTTAAAGGAACACTCTGGACTTATTTTCAAGAGTACTTACTCGGTTTAATTCATTTTTCAGAAAACATTCTAAAAGTCAATGAGACTTAACTCAGACTACAAAAGCATGAGGCTCTCTCTTCTGTTTGGAGTAAAAGTGAGATAGAAATCAATCTTGTAATGGGATTGTAGTTGCCATCTAACTATAAAGAGGCAGCCCCCTTTCCATTATAAAGTATGTTCTTGCAGAACTAGAACTGGAATCCTGTCTCTCTAGCTCTAAAACCACCAATCTCTTATCACTAGATCTGAAGAAAGAGCTCTGAGAGCAGCCACCCACAGAAATATCCTTATATCCCTTCTAAATTGCAGCCAGCCAATAGTGGGTAACATGCTCACACACACAGGTCCTAATCCTGTAATCAGTTACTCCTATCAGATTCCTGTATAGTTGTGATGGGGTGTACCAGGCCCTGAGACCCCTGCTGGAGGCCTCACAGGCCTACTATACACCGCCCCAGAAAAGGAGCGGTAGAGGTGAATCCTCCAGGCTGCCTAGAGCAGCTGTGAGGAAGCAACCAGAGTCCAGCAGGCTCATATAAAAAGGAGTTGCTAGACAGAGCAGATCAGTCACTGGCTGGAGCCAGAGATGCAAGAATGGTGCTCCTGGCTACAGCACCTGCAGAGCTGGACAGAGCAGCTGCTGGCAGGGACTAGGGGAGCAAGGAAGATGCTCCTGGCCGACCGCAGGGACTCAAGCAAGACTTCAGCCCTGAACTAAGTGTCAAGGAAAGGGTGAAAGGGCTGCAGGGAAGTGGCCTATGGAACAGTAGCTGCACAGTTAAATGGGACACAGCAGGGTTCACTGGTTTTTGTAGGGTTCCTGGGTTGGGACCCAGAGTAGTGGGTGGGCCCAGGTTCTCCCCACTTTGGCCACAGACAGAGTGGCCAAAGCCCTGAAGAAGGGGAGTTTACACAGGCCCAGGGAGCAGACTGAATACTCTGAAGAGGGTCAGCATTTGTGGACTTCGATAAACCCTCGGAAAGGGACAGAACACAGAGCGACTCAGCTGGACAACTGGGGTCAGTTGGGGTACCCCAGAAGGCAAAAAGTCTCTAGGGAGGGAGCCCTGGGGGCACTGCTCCATCCCAGAGCAGGGATGGTTTGAAAAGGACAATTTGAAAGCTAGCCTAGATAGAAGCTGAGCACTAAGCCCAGAGAAAGGGCTAAAGATACTAACTGAGGGCACTGTGATAGGCCCTGTTGGACTCGTACCCTGGAAGGGGTTTATTTTGCTGTACACCTACAGACTGTGTGTGACTTGGCCGGAGGGCTGAGTCATAGAAAACCTGCTTGAGAAGTTAAATGCCCAAAAGGGTTGCCACAAATGGCACAGCTAGAGATAGAATGCAGGCAGATGCACACCCGATAGGAGGCACTCACGTGAGGTGAATGGCCCCATCACAATGGTTCCATTAACTTAAGCTGAACTCCCTGAAGGCAGAAGAATGTATTTGTGCAGATCAGATTGCAAGAGGCACAATGCCCAATTCTGTACCCTCTGAAATCAGTGGCAAATAATTCCTACTGAAATCATTGGGCCTAAAACTACCCACAAGACAAATCATCAATGCTGTTTAATTACAAACTAATTTCTTCAAATACAGCTGATGCATGACAAATGACTGACAAGTTCTCTTCAAACTTTATAGAAGCATTCTCCTTTGAGCCGTCATAGTAACTCTGGCAACTCTAAGCCAAAATGCTTTTCAAAGCCATGGTTGTACACGGCCTAGAATAAGGTTTCTCAGCTCTCTAATTCTTTACCTGCTTTTGCCGTTCCAGCTCAGCCTCCACTTCTTGTTTGGCCATTTTGTGGGTTGCAATCTGTTCTTGGAGGTCTTGAAGTTGTTCTTTTGCTGACTCAGCTTCGCTAACCTGCTGAGCCTCCATATCCTAAAAATAATATAAATATTATTGTTCCAGTAACATCAAGCCACACAGCTATCCCTGTAGTAATAGCAAAAACTACTCCTGCAGAGTGGAACTTAAGTGGCTTTAGCCACCTTTTTTGCCCATCATTGCTTTCAAGAAAAAAGACCACGGTATAAATGACCAAATACACAATTAAAAAAAAAAAAAAAAAGCCTTTTTTTTTTTTTTTAAATATTTAGGTACCTCCCACTGACTGCCTCCTTTCTCATCCTGTCTACAGGTTGAAGACTCACCAGGTTGACTTGTACATCGTTGCAGGGAGCAGGGGTAACCACAGACAACCTGTGCCCGCTAACAGGGGAGGGAGACACAACCCTGGAACAACTTGAGTCACGCACCCTCCTTCCCGAGCTGCACTCCCCTCTCTGGAAAGCAGCGCCCCCGCGATCCCAGGAAAGCAGCAGGCACTCTGTGCAGCTCCCAGCTGTTCCTCTGCCTCTCCCAAAAGAGTTAAAGCAGCCGTGACTTGGAGCAGCTCTCAGCTGTTCTTCTGCTCCTGCCTATGCCTCTCCCTCTCCCTGACCAGCACAGCTCCCCAGCTCAGCTGTTCTGCAGGGAGGGGGGCCCAGCCAACTGTACCATGTAACCAAGTAATCTGGGGTGGCATGTGACCCTGCATGCCCCCACTGCATTGCCTCTGGGGCTAACTAAGGGAACAGTGGCTGCCCAAAAACTACAGCTACTGTGAAGATCAACAGTCCTAAGGAATCTTAGAAGAACAAAAAGGCATACCCTTCGCTCTCCAAAGAAATATCTATGATAGTTTTTTGGGCAGAAACACCATCTTTCAATGGGGGCCTGGGATGGGGGAAGAGGACAGACAGCAGTAGAGGCAACACCTATATCCTGTCTCCCCTCATGCCCTCAGACACCTTATTACCTCTACCCTAGGAACTGGAGTGGTCAAGGAGAATGGAGAGAAACTGGAGTATCAATGACAAAGCATTTGTCTCACCCACAAGAGACTTTTTTTTTTTAAGTACTAATAAATAAATGTTAAAAGCAGCATAATAGTTGTTCCAACCGTAACAAGGTATCTTGAATACCATTATAGTGATACTAATACAAGCAATACAAAGGCCACTGTAATCCCACATACTTACGTGGTTAACTACAAGGACTGCATATAAAGATTTCTACCTGTAGCTCTGTTCTCAGCTGCTGTATCTGCCCCATTAATTTCTGTATTTCCTCTTTCTGTGCTTCTTTCTCATGTCTCAGTTCTTCTAATTCCATGGTGCTTGCAGTAAGGCTATCCAGTCCTTCAATGCCAGAGCCTTCTTTTAGGCTGTTTATCAACTTTTCTTTAGACTGAAAGATTAAAAATGATTTTGTATTAATAAAGATGCTAACTATTAAATTCTTTCCTTAAATACATATGCTCTACTGCCCCCTGACTATATGAGATCCATGCTTGAATCTCTCAGCAAGATTTGGCTCTAAAATTTCAGGCATGAAACTAAAATTAAAAACTACATTTTTTAAGAGTGTGAGATAACTGGCTCTGTGGATATGGGGAAAGCAGTGGACGTGATATATCTTGACTTTAGCAAAGCTTTTGATACGGTCTCCCACAGTATCCTTGCCAGCACGTTAAAAAAGTATGGATTGGATGGACGGACTATAAGGTGGACAGAAAGCTGGCTAGATCATCCGGCTCAACAGGTAGTGATCAACAGCTCGCTGTCTAGTTGGCAGCCGGTATCAAGCAGAGTGCCCCAGGGGTTGGTGCTGTGGCTGGTTTTGTTCAGCATCTTCATTAATGATCTGGATGATGGGATGGATTGCACTCTCAACAAGTTCGCGGATGACACTAAGCTGCGGGGAGAGGAAGATAGGCTGGAAGGTAGGGATAGGGTTCAGAGTGACCTAGACAAATTGGAGGATTGGGCCAAAACAAATCTGATGAGGTTCAACAAGGACAAATGCAGAGTCCTGCACTTAGGACAGAAGAATCCCATGCACTGCTACAAGCTGGGGACCGACTGGCTAAGTGGCAGTTCCACAGAAAGGGACCTGGGGATTACAGTGGACAAGAATTTGGATATGAGTCAGTGTGCCCTTGTTGCCAAGAAGGCTAATGGCATATTGGGCTGCAGTAGGAACATTGCCCACAGATCAGGGGAAGTGATTATTCCCCCTCTATTTGGCACTGGTGAGGCCACATCTGGAGAACTGCGTTCAGTTTTGTCCCCCCCCACTACTGAAAGGATGTGGACAAATTGGAGAGAGACCAGCGGAGGGCAACGAAAATGATTAGGGGGCTGGGGCACTGATTTACGAAGAGAGGCTGAGAGAACTGGTCTTATTTAATCTGCAGAAGAGAAGAGCGAGGGGGGATTTGATAGCAGCCTTCAACTACCTGAAGGGAGGTTCCAAAGAGGACGGAGCTAGGCTGCCTTCAGTGGTGGCAGATGACAGAACAAGAAGCAATGGTCTCAAGTTGCAGTGGGGGAGGTCTAGGTTGGATATTAGGAAAAACTATTTCAGTAGGAGAGCGGTGAAACACTGGAATGGGTTAGCAAGGGAGGTGGCGGAATCTCCATCCTTAGAGGTTTTTAAGGCCCGGCTTGACAAAGCACTGGCTGGGATGATTTAGTTGGGGTTGGTCCTGCTTTGAGCAGGGGGCTGGACTAGATGACCTCCCGAGGTCTCTTCCAACTCTAATATTTATGATTATATTGCAGGATCAGGATTTTAATTTTCATGTCAGTTATCTAACTCAGTCTTCAGCGGCACATGATTCTATTAAATGTAAATTCTATCATCATGTATTTTAAGATCTATTGCACCATTATAATATACTGTTGATATAAAAAGTCCAAAAGCAAATATATCACTGATCAGATGTAGAAAACATAAATGGAACAAAATTAAACATGATGCTCCATTCCAATGATTCATTGCTCCATTCCACTTTAAAATCAAATGTGTCAATGTTTTTGCATTAACCTGGATTTCTTCCCAGTTACTTATACTTAGGAGGGAGTTGCATGCTTACTTGGAGTATGCGAGTAGCTTTTTGTTTGTAGTCCACCAATTCCTGTTTAACAGACTCCAAGCTGTTTTTAGTTACTTTGACTTGCTGCTGAAGCTCCTCCACTCTCCTCTTCTCATCCACATATTTTCGTTCTGCTGCAGTAACTGCTTCTGCCAAGTTCTGCCGTTCAACTTCCATTTTACTAAGGCGAGCAGCAAACTCATTCTATTAGTGGCAAAAAAAAAGTTTAAACAATTAGTACAATCCCAATTTTCAGTTAGCAAAAAAGGTTTCAATGCTAACTATAAAAGAAACAAGACATTAGAGTTCACTCCCTCCAGGTTAAAATCTTCTTCAGTACTTTTTATTCAGATAAAACTCACACTAAATTTAATGGAGTGCTAAATCCTAGAAAGCAGCCAGATCTAAGTCATTAAACAACAAATATTTTCTTTACTGAGTAAAGGAAATTCATCCTATTATTTAAGCCATATGACTGACAAAATGAGCAAATTGCCCCTTGAAAAGACACTGTCCACTTGGGGGTTTAGACCAATGTTCCCTCTAATTTTTACTCCTGGGGGAATTCTGCATCACTGTGCATGTGCAGAATTTATGTCCTCCGCAGATTTCTTTGCTTCCCCGCAGAAAAATGACTTTCTGATGGGGAAGCAAAGGGAAGCCACAAGAGCCATCATGAGATCCTCCCCAGCAGTATGTTTCGGGTGCCCAGGGCAGCCGGCAGAGAAGTAAATCACTGTGGGGCAGGAGGCAAGACAAGGGAAGACCAGGCTGGTGACTCCTACCCTGCACTGGACACAGCTGCTAGTCCTGCCTGGGCTGAGGAGGACGGGACTTCCTTTTCCCCTGCACAGCATCCAGGGCCGTGCCAGACCCACCCCCAGATTTCTCCCCTGGCTGTAGGAAGCTCTGAAAACTCCCCTCCTGCCCCCCAGCACTTCCTACACGCATTGCTCCTCAGCTGCAGGGGGGAGAATTACTGTACAGGGAGCTGCTCCCACATCCGCATCCACCCAACTCCCATGCATCTATACCCAGACCATCCCGCCAAGCCTCACCCCCCGGCACCCAGAACCCACCCTGACGAGCCCCACTCCCCCTGCACCTGGACCATCTTGACAAGCCACCCACACATGGATCCCCACCCTACCAAGCACCAACCAGCTGCAGCTGGATCCCCGCCCCACTCCTCCAGCATCTGGACCTCCCCCACGCCTCCACCTCCTCCTCTGAGTGCGCCACATTCCCGCTCTTCCCACTCCCTCCTGGAGTTTGCTCCAGCTCTTTGGTGGTGGCAAGCGCTGAGAAGTATGTGGAGGAGTGGGGACGCAGTGCACTCAGGGGAGGAGGAGGTGAGGTGCGGCGGGGAGCTTGGTACCACGGAGTCACCACCTATGCTCCCCAACGCCATGCTGGAGACTCCACATTTATTTGAAAAATAAAATTTGCAGAAATTTAAAATATTCTGTGCAGAATTTTTAATTTTTTGGTGCAGAATGCCCTCAGAAGTAAACCACCTCCATATAGGTGCACATAACAAAATTTCATGTGACAGGGGTGGGATTGAGGGGTCTGGAGTGTGTGAGTGAGGGCTCCAGCAGGAGTTGCAGGCTCTGTGTTGGGGCCGGGGATGATGGGCTCGGGGCCGGGGCAGAGGGTTGGAGTGCAGGGTCGGGGGGCGGCCTTCCGCTGTGGCTGCGGGCTCTGGGGTGGGGCCACGGATGAGGGATTTAGGGTGCAGGCTGCTCCAGGCTATGGCAGGAAAAGAGGACTCCCCCCAGCAGCACCTGGGCTGGAGAGGGGGAGCAGGAAAAGAGGTGCCTCTTCCCGCCGTGGCAGCTCTGGGTCTCAGGCCACAGGATAGGTGCCTCTCCCCAGGCAGGTCTGGGGCTGGGAGAGAGAGTGTTTCTCCCCGCCTCTCCCTGCCACAGCGGCTCTGGGGTTGGGGCCATGGGATAGGCGCCTCTTCCCCAGTTGCGGCTGGCCCGGAGGTGGGGCTGGGGCACCTCTTCCCCAGCCACGGCTGGCTTGGTTTGGGGTGCCTCTCCCCTTGCTGCAGCAGGTTTTAACATTTTCTTGCAGTAGAGTGAACACCCAAAAAGCATACTAATTCAGGAGAATCAGAAGAAAAAAAAAATGGAGCAATGGATTCCATTGTCCAAATTAAGTGCAGTTAAGTAATAAGCAAAAAGTATAAACTATGGAAAGTAAACAAGGTTAAAACTAGTTCAGTAATCTATTAGCAACATGAGTTTGCAAATCTATTTGAAGAGGAGTTTTATGTTGAAACACTAACAAAATGTGGTAAAAACAGAACTACAATAAAAGTGGTCAATAGTTTCTGGACTGTTTCACCACTGATTCTGGAAAATAAAATTTAAAAAAGCTAAATAAATTAGTGTACAAGGGACACCTACTTCTTCAGAGGCCAGATCCTGCCAAGTGCTCAGAACCCTTAACTCCAGGCAAAATCAATGGGAGTTGAGGGCACTTAGCATCTCAGGAACCCAAAAGCGGAATCTGACACTCCACCTCCATTTTCACATCTAACCTGCATCTGCTTGTAACTTTCTTGTTCTCGCTTCAATGCGGAGTCTGCATCATGTAGCCTCTCCTGCACAGTTTGAAGGGCTTGATTCTGCAGGTTTTTCCCTTCGCTGTGGTCTTGTATTATTCTAAAAGAGTATTACAGAATATCATTGAAAAGTAAGCCTATATACTATGCTTTCAAGGTAGAAACAATAAGGTGATTTTTTCAAACTCTCTTATGTCAGACAGTGCTAATCAATGGTTTACCTGGTTTTCACTTTGCAATGTTTTTTTTTTCTAATGCAGAAAAAATTCTATTTTCTTAAACAGTACTTCAGAACACAGGTAGAATAGTAAGAATAAAACCTACAGCTCACCTAAAAGTAAAAGCACCCCACATATTTCTGTTGCCCAAGTTAGAAGTAGAATTTAAAGAGTTTTACTCTTAGGTTTGGTTTGGTTTTTTAAATAAAGGAGCAAGTATTCAACTGACCACTGAACACCCAATGTGGACAGAAAACAGAAAAGTTCTTACACTTGTAGGCAAACATACTTTATTTGCCTTTTTGGTCAAATATAGTCTCTACCAATGCGAAATCTCAAATTTCAGACTTCTCTCTCAAACATTAGAATTACACAAATGGTTTATATAAAATGTATTTGAACAATTATACCAGTTCAGTCACAAATAAACACTGACACAAGCAAGTGGCAATTAAACTTATTCAAGTCTCTGACCTGTTCTCACTGAAGTCAATGGCGCTCATGTTAAGTATAATGATATCTGAATCAAGCCTTAAATAATACTTACATTTTTTCCTAACTAAAATTCTCAAATCTAGATATATAGGAAAGTGATAACAACTGTCATTTTGACTACTGAAAACACCAATCTTTATAGCTTGAATTCTCCAACCTATTACTACTGTTTGGAATGGGTTTTAAAGTACCGTGATTTTTCACTCTGTAATGCTTCCAGGGCTTCTGTCCGAGTACTCAGTAGCTGATCAGCTTCTTGCAACCGCACTTTCAGCACGGCCAGTTGGGAATCCTTGGCAGAAACAGCTTCTGTAAGATCATCAACCTGAGCTTGAAGTTCTCGAACGACCCTGTCACTCTTTGAATGGTCAACATTCCATTTTTCAACCCTTGCTCTGGCATGCTTTAATTCTACCAAAAAAAAAAAGAAAAAGGATACATTTGCATACATACAATAAAATCTGCTGCCTCAAGGAAAAAATAAATAGTATTAGATGCCAGGTGGTTAGAATGCCACTTGTATCACAATCCATACCAGAAAAAAATTAAGTGCAACCAGCTGAGTTTATAAAACATTGAAAAAAAAAGCGAGAGCTGACTCTAAAACACTGGAGCAGATTCTCTTCTTAACCCAAGCTGTTGAAGCACAAAATAAAACTTAAAAAGGCACAACTACTAGAGTCAACGAGTCAGTGTTAAAATGACATCTTTGAGTTTGTACTGTTCATTTTAAAAAACAAAACAAACACCATATTAGTTTTAACCTTTACTCAAAATTATCAGGTTAAAATTCATATGCAGTACTGTTTTAAAAAAAGATTTCCCTAACCTGTGGTATTATCAGCTTTGATTAGTTAAACAATATTACAAATTTAATTGGCTTATTTTGCATTTCAATTAGCTTAGGCAAGGAATATATAGACTAGTCAATTTGACTTTTTTATTGTTATTTTCTAGACTGTTTCACTTTCTGGGCCTCATATATTTGCATAATACATGCCATAATGTTTGGGTTCAAATATTGCAGGGGATTGTTATTCCTTTAAAAAAAAAAAAAAAAAAGGGTCAGACTTTTTTTAAAATGTGTAAACATTTCTAATAGCAGTGGCCTTTCCTAAACCTTGTTTTTACACAATCTAAATTTTGGGTCTAATTAACTTGATTGTGTCCCTTTAATCACTACTCTTATTTTGTTGTTGTTGAAGAACGACTACTCCTCCCAACTATCTCAAGTAAATTTTTTTTCCCCCAGATGGTTTCAGTGAAGGTCATATTACCCACCATATCAGAACATCTTTGTCTTAAATTCATTAGGAGCTAACGAGCTTAACGTGGATAGCTCAAAGATACTTTTCATTCTCTCCAGCTTAGTATCCATTTAGACTGTCAGGAATCACTATGCTTAACAAGCCACATCTACAGATTCAACTAGAAGTACTTGAATCTGAACACAAGTCACTGATGGAGAGTTACTACTGGTTTCTATTTTACTAGAATCTCAAAACCAGTTAATATTTTGAAATATAAGCTTCCAAACTAGACTACCTTCCTGTGTTTCTTTGGATCTCTGAATTAATGAAGCCATTTCTTGATTTAAAGACTGAACCTCATTCCGAAGCAGTTGATTCTCCAGGCGAAGATTGGACAGTTCGTGGGATTTGCAATCATCATTAGCTGAAAGGCTGTGATTAGTTGCTGTATTCAGTGATGAATCTTTTGTAACATCCACTTGTGTATCCAATCCAGAATCAGAGCCATCAGGAGTTTCTGTACAAAGAAATCTGAGTTAAATCAAGTATGTTTGTTTTGTATGGCTACTCACAGTAAGTAGACCAACAATGATCCACATATACAAAAGATAGACATTTCACCATTAAAGTGGGTCACTGAATAGCTACTCACAATAAACAGACCTATATAGTACCATATTCTCGTACATAGTATAATGCAGATGATTTGTACACTGTAGCGAGATCAGCCACAGATGGCATAATTGTTGGCAATTGGTTATAACAAAGAGTCATATTTCAGGTGGGAAAATGTTAACATTTTCATGACTATGCTGCAGAAAACTTGCCTCAAAAATCTAATCCAAACACAGAAGAGTGCAGTTTATTCACTTTATATAAGATAGCCTATTAAGGTTACTTCAATTATACCCATCTCCTCACCAACTTCTTTACTAACCACCTGGCCTCAAAGTATTTGATCAATGTATTTTTTGAGGAGGAGGGGAGGCACTTTTCACCATAGAAATGTTTACTATAAAAACACTGGAAAATACAATGATTTGAAGCCCTGTAGTAGGCTGTGGAATATTTCCTTTATTCTTGCTTCATATCATACTTCCGTAAGAGGTTTTGTAATACATGAAAATTACAAGGAACTTTTGAATAGTATCTAGAAATCCTAATTGCACATTAATTCCCTGAATTATGGGAATTAAGTAGCAATTCTATTTTATAGAGTGGATGCTGATAGAAAGAACACTCTAAACTAATACAGCTGACAGTGCTCTGACCAAGTCACCAGAAAACACACACACGGGATTTGGATTCCTAATAGGGGGTTACTGAAGTCTTATATAACAACATTCTAGATGCCAATGAGCATATATTATAGGGCCTTATATGTAAAGTCTTGCACTGGTGTCAATATGAAACAGTATGACATGCAGAGAGAGTAAAGAAACAGCTGTTCCACACGTGTTATTTTTACTTCAGATTCAGTGTATCCACCTTGGATAACCAGATGAAAACCAGTGAGTGCAGACTGAAGTCAATACAAAGCAAGGGTGTCCATTTGAATCCAGTGTTTTAAACTGTCATCATACTCTTTACTTCACCTTGTGCTCACCAACAAGCCTGCTCCACCTTCAACAGTCCACATCACACAGTGCCCTAGGGAAATGGGGTGGGCCATTAATTCTGAATACTGACACACCAAGAAAACAGCACCATAAATCCAAGCAAGATTTGTTCAATACTTCTTGTATCTCTTGCCCTAGAGTTAAAACGTTTTAAGTGCCATTCCCTTCCTTTTAGTTTATACAGTCTTCACATAACCAGACGCTGTGTGACAATACATTTATTTTTGTCAATAATTATAAAATGCACAAATAGCCCATCTCCATTTTACAACTAACTTTTTGTGGGAGGTATGGACTGTCTTTTATGTCAGGTGCACTAAGAGACATACCTAACTAATACCAATGACTGGCAAACAAGATGTTATAGTGGGCAAAGCAGGCATACCTTGTAAACATAATCAGGGTACCACGTGACCTGAATCTACAATTAATACATCTTGAGTTAGCTGTGATCAATCATTAAAGAGTTGTAAGAACTCTTAACTATAAACATATCCCAATTTTAAGGAGTAGAAACTACAATAAGGGGAGGGCTAAGTCTTTTTACCAACTTCAATACAACAGGTTTGATTTAATAATACTAATACATGCACTTATAGTACTTCAAATATTCAATGAACTGTACTGATATCAACTAAGTAACAACACTCTCGTGAGGCAGTGCATGTATTCTACTCATTTTACATGTGGAGAAATGGAGGGAAATAGGTAAGGTTACTCCAAGGTCACCCAGTGAATCAACAGAAGTGCTGGGGTTAGAATTAAGAGGTTCTTGTCTCCCAACCATGTTACCATTACTCTAGAACACCTTTCCCTCATATTAGAATCTATTTCATTTACTGTCAGTAAATTTGTTACCCTTCACATAACATGGTTTTAAAAATACCTATGTTCAATAAACATCTATAGTTCTAGTTAGCTACCGTGGCTTTGACTCCTGATAGAATTGTCTTCAGTAGTTTTTACATTTTGTGTACTTGTAGGCATAGAACTAATGCTTGAAGTCAGAGAGTGATTCTGAAGAACAACTGTCTTGCTCTTCTCCTTTTTAGGGTCCATCCGTCCATTAGTTCCTTTCTCAGAACTATTGAGAAAATCAAACAAAAGCTCATCATTAGGTTCAGACTTTTTCCTTCTTACAAACTGGGAAGAAGGTCTGGGAGTGGAAACACTTTCTGCTGGAGAAGAGGCCTCCGAAGACATCTTGGATGCTGCTTTGACATTTGCAGTTCCAGCTAGGATTGTAGCTTTCTGGTGTTTAATATTATCAGCTGCAGAGGAGATATAGGTTGCTTTAGATGATGTCTGATATTTCAATTCTCCAGTTTGCTGGTGCAGTTCAGGATATTCACCGGCAGACTCCAAAATCGTATTATCATATATTACATTCCCTGTACCATCTTTTTTGCTTAAAGCTGATGCAGCTCCTTGATCGACTCTGTTGAGAAGGTCCTCTGCCTTTCCAGCAAGATCAGCAAACCAAGACATAATGGATGTCTATTGACAAAATATACAGAATTGATCTCCAAAAGCATGAGCTGCAAAAAGATACAAAATGGTTACAGATTAAATATATGTTGATGAACTGAGGCATCTGGTTTATCTTTGTTGTAAACTATGGTTATGTTAATAGTTTTGTCCTTGTTTCATCCATTAACATGCCATATTACTGGAGAGAGTCCAAATCAGATGTTCTAACAGGAAAATGTAGACTAGGGGTTGTCAATTATTTTTTGTCAGGGTCCAAATTTCTTGGTCAATATATAGTTAAGGTCCAGACTCCAGACAAAATAATTAAAAAAAAAACAAAACACCAACCCCAATAATTATAATAAGTAAAAAGATTTCAGGGTCCATTCACGTGACAACCTCTACTGTAGAGGAATGAGTTTTAGCTACTAAACCAGCAGTCATTCAGGGCATCAACACCTACTAGCAGCTGTAGCAACCCCTATAACTATAAAATGATGGTCTGCTTGCAGCAGATTAAAGGAAAACAAACTGGGATGGAGAAGGAAATGGGAAGTGATGCAGATAACCACAGGTGTATAGTAGAAAAAAGTTTCTTTGACCTTTGACATACAGACCTCTCCAGAGGCACTTGCAGGAACTCCATACCGCCCCGTCTGCTTTAAAATCGGTGCAACTCCTAATCTTGTGGACTGTGTGAACCCCTTCAACTATGTTGGAGGGCCTCTTTAACTATGTTTAACTACGGGCCCTAAGGGCCAGACTTTTAAAGGCGAGAACGTCAGCTGGGGTTAGGCACCCATACACCTTTACCAGTCTGGCCCGGAGCGCCCCGTAGGCTGCCAGCGATGACACACTGTGCCTGCGTTCGGGGGGGCCGTGCCCCACACGAGCCCTGCCCGGACCCCGGAGGAGACACAGCCACGGGGCCCGCGGGGGACAGAAGGGTCGGCATCGGCAGCACAACACGGGGGAAGGGAGCAGGCGGCTCAGAATGAGGAGCCGGCCTTAACCCCCCCACCCCTGCCGCCGCTTCCCATCCCCCGCCGCGCTGTTAGGCCCCAGCACAGCCCCGGCCTCACCTTGTCCCGGCGCCCGCCCTGCCTCCGCGGGGAGCACCCGGCTGGCAGCCGGCCGAGGGATGCAGGGGCTAAATCGGCGGCAGAGGCCGCTGCGGCTACACAGAGGCCGCAGGCCGGACACGGCACCTCAGCTCCATCTTCCGGGAGACGTGGCCAGTAGCGGGCGGACGCAGGGACCCAGCGCACCACCGGCCAGGCCGCCGGATGCGCAGGCGCAGTCAGAAGCTCGGAGCGAGGCCACGTCCCCTGCCGCCCGAGAGGAGGGGCAGGGACGGAGCAAGGCCACGCCCCTTGCCGCGAGCGTCCGCCAGTCCTAGAGAGGAGGGGCAGGGAGTGAGCAAGAGGCCCCGTAGCGTTCCCGGCGGGAGGGGCGGAGTTGGAGCGGTACTGCAGACTCTATCAGCCACAGTGTCTCGCGAGGCCTACGCGCTTCAACCCCTCCCCCGCTCCCCCTCATCCCCGATCTCCCTCCACGTGACCCCGCCCTCGGCTCTTTCACAGGCCCCTCCCACTCGGTCAAGGGCAACGCGTCAAACGCCAACAACCCCTCCTCCAGCCCCCCCCCGCCCTTCCCGATGGTCCTCACAGCCGTGAGGCGTGAAGCAGAGCAGGGAGCAGCCTCTAGACGGCGCTGTGAGCTCACTCAGAAACGAGCCACCCCGGCTGTCCAGGCGGAGACTGGAGCCTGCTTTTGGCCCGTGCTCTGGCCTGGAGTTGCAAACGTCCAGCCAGGGGGTTATAGTTACAGATGCTCAACCCGAGCAGATTCATGCCTGCCCCACCTCACATTCCTCTCCCCCTCCTTCCAGTGGGAACAGCTTACCTGGGGTACTGCCAGAGGTCTCAGCACCTGGGCACTTCCCAATCTTTCACCTGATTCCCCCCATGCTGCTCCTCCGAGGCAGGACAGACCCTGTCGCCCCAGTTGTACAGATGGGGAACCAAAGGTGTAGTTTGACTTCTGGGGGGGGTTAATAGTATTAATAATCGGTACTGGTCTAACTTTTTGATTTACCAGTTGTTGTGGTACTTAAATTACAGTGTACTTGAAATCACAAACACAGTTTACATTCATTATTTAATCACCCTTAATTTTTCATTTTAACAATTATTTGCCATGTTTACCAGCTACCACTTAAAAATCAACATTAGCATAAAAACAAACTCTTGACTAAACAGAACCAAGCACTTTCATGTAACTGAAGCATGTCTCCCTGGTTTTAGAGATACATAAATATGCAATGCACACATCAGACAAATCCATCGCTAAAGCCTGTGCCCTTTGCTCATCTGCCTAAGCACATTCCACTCAGTCACTCACCTGGGCTTGACACAGTCAATGCACAGACACTTGGGAAATAGCTCAGATCTTATATTCACTTGCTACATGTTACCAAGGTGATTAGAATATGGGCCCTATATCTAGATGCCTGTGTTTCTGGGGCAAGTCTCTTATTTGATAGGCTTGTAAAACTGAAATGGGCCCAAGCTAGAGCTCTGCTGTGAGAGTGAGGCTCAGGAGCTGCTCTTCTGCCATACCTTTGGGCAGCCCATGTGGGGAAACTGACCTGGACACACAGAGCGTCTGGCATTGTTGCTGGCTCCTTCATCCCCTGAACATTCCTCTGTGCCCCCCTAGGGAGTTGGGGGGAACAGCAACACCAGGTGCTCTGTCCATCCAGGTCAGTTTCCCCAGCTGTGCTGTGCTGTGAGTTATCAGGAGCTGCTCTCCTGCCCTCCCCTTACACAGCCCATGTGGGGAAACTGACTTGGATGCATGTCACCGCTTGCCCCTGCAAACATTCCTCCATGGGGAGGAAGCAGGGCCAAATAGAAGGGAGAAATCTAGGCACTTCCCCCTCCGTGCATCATCTCTGCAACATATCCAGTTGGGGGGGCGGGGCAATGCCCCCTCAATGCCCCTCCATCTCTGCCCATGTGGGGAACAGGCACCAAAAGATTAAGTGTTTTGCCCAGAGTCATACAGGACACCTAAAAGAGGAGGGAATTGAACTTGGGTTTCCTAAATCTTAGGTGGCTATCTAACCACAGAACCATCCTTCATTCCCAATGTCAGTACATGCTCTCCTGCTCCCACAGCACTTTCCAAAATACATTCCCTCCCCAGCCCCCCTCTTTGAAAAGGACACAAATTACTTCCCCCAAATTTAGCTATCTATTACTTGTACTTTAGCGTAGTCCACCTGCTAGGGTTGCCAACTTTCTAATTACACAAAACTGAACACCCCTGCCCCGCGCCCTTCACGGCCCTTCTTGGAGGCCCCACCCCCACTTGCTCCATCCCCCCTCCCTCCGTCACTCGCTCTTCCCCACCCTCACTCACTTTCACCGGGCTGGGGCTGGGGTGTGGAAGGGGGTGCAGGCTCTGGAGTGGGCCTAGGGATGAGGGGTTTGGGGTGCAGGAAGGGGCTCTGGGCTGGGGCCAAGGGGTTCGGAGTGTGGGAGGGGGTGTGGGCTCCAGCTGGGTGTGTGGGATTTGGGGTGGGGCCAGGAATGAGGGTGCAGGAGGGGACTCCACGCTGTGGGAGGGGATTGAACTAAGGGAAATTAGGAGGCTTTAACCTTTAAGATTAGCAGAAGATTTAAAGATGAAAAGCATTTTATTGGCTTTTTAAGCAGGGAGGAGCATGGTAGTTTGTAGTGAATTTAGAGTCCCATTTGGCATATAAGCATAAAACTTATAGTCCTCTCAGCCTTTGATTTTGTCCCCTGTAGCAATAATAATATAATTGGACCAACACTAGGCTGTGCCCTATATAGAAAAGTAAGGCAAGATCCCTTCAAGATGTCTATTTAAACCTGAAGAAGGGCTCTGTGTAAGCTTGTCTGTATCACCAACAGAAGTTGGTCTACTAAAAGATATTACCTCACCCACCTTATCTATCCCTGCCACTTGAGCTACAGTATTGACTAGTAAGCTCTATTCTCAGTACTAAGGCTTTCTAAAATCAGGCCCTAATGTTACCAAACTCATAATCTGACAACCATTCTTGGTATTTATAATTTGTTCATAGTTATAGTATTTATTTTTCAAATGCTTTCCTCTACATATATAGGGAGCACAATACCATATATGGCATGATGGAAAAAGGATTGTAAATGAATTAATGGATTACAGTTTCAAATGTCTATGGGGTTTTATAAATGAGAGTGAATAGTATTTTAAAAATGAAAAGGATTGAAATAGTTTGATTGTTTTGTTTAAGCTTCCTCATCTTGCCGTAACTTCTATCTTTTGATGGCAAGAGAAGCTCAAACCTTTCACTCTTGTTTGAAGGATCAAAAAGTTCTTCATGATGTATAAAAAGAATGGAAAGATCTGACTATTGAGGAACCAAATTGTAGTATTATATTACGTACCAATACAACAAGAGATTCTTTAAGATAATACTTTTAAAGGGCCTGTCATTTCATACAAAGTTAGAGGCAGGACAGGGGACAAAGCTGCCAAACTTCTGGTTTTGTCTTTCTGATTGTACTAGGCCCAAGAAGCAGTTTTTGATTAGAGCAAAAAGTCCTCTCACTTGTAATATCTGTATTGAATATTTAAGCCCCTTCATTTTCAGTTTGCAATTTTTACTGAAAATTTCCCAGGTTTTACAAAAAGTATTATTCATTTTTTTCCGATTTTCACCCTACTTTTTGTACCATTCAAATATATAAAAATAACTTGTTTTATTAGGAAAATACAATACATTGCATGAGATATATGTATTATGATGACACATTAGTCTGTGTGTATATGCAAAGCTACCTATTGAAGTAAGTCTATGTATTAATCTAGAAGATATACACAAACAAATAGACACGCACGCAAGCTCTGAAGTGCATGCACATCTGAACATACTAATGAATCTCACGCCCACTATGTACACATTTCAAGCTGTTAGCAGTTAACAAATTAAAGATTTGACGCACTAAAATGGGAGGAAAATGAAAATCTGTGTCAGAATACGTTTCAGAACACAAGGAAGTATTCAAAAGTTAAAAAAAAAAATCCAGGAGAAAAGGATGAAGTTGAGTATGCGCTGAAAATGGTGTGACCCAATTATTAAATGTAAATATGTATAGGCTAATAGTTCTAAGTCTACAATAGTAAACCATTTATTCAAATGAAAAGTTTTATTTGGGGATTAGAGATGTATTGTTTTCTTAAACTCAGAGGTGGCATTGTGTTTGAGTTCTGTTTTCGTTCTGCAGCAAACCACATTGATGAACAGAATTCAAAGCATTAATCTACTGAATACTTTTTTGCCCTGTCTTTCCATCCACCAAAATAAACCCTGATATTTACCCAGAGAAATTAGTAGTTTTTTGCACTGATTTTCACCTGTTTTTGTTGTTGTGGTAATAAACTCTGATAAATTCTCAGGAAAAAAATGTAAATAAAATAAAATGAAGGGCCCTATCCATATTGTAATATTTGAGCAGGTGTAGTGTGAGCCTTTGTGACTATGTGAATCACCATCCAGGAGAGGGATATTAATTATTGTGAAGAGCTGCTTTTCTACAGAAATTGTTACGTGCTTCCTGAAAGAGGAGACTCAGCAATACAGATAGGCTGTGGTTGGATTTTGCAACTGGAAATGCCTTATGTCTGGCTTAAGAAACCATCACATCAGCAAGAGGACTAAAGACTTATTTTTGTTCTGCTAAAAGAAAAGGAGTACTTGTGGCATCTTAGAGACTAACAGATTTATTTGAGCATAAGCTCACTTCATCTGCTGTCCTCCCTGTGAAGATGAGTCATGCAAGTGGTCTCTTCCTATCAGCAGAGCACATGGCATGAGGGCGATAAAAACCCCAAACCAAAGTTTTAAAAAGTCCTTTGACGTTCATAACGCTTCCCAAGATTTACCTCAG